GCACAATCTTCTATGAATGTTTGAAAATGTTCGCGCATCCGGAATATTTCTATTTGGAAAGCGGTCTTCATACAACCGCCTGGCTTCCAGTGCGTTACCATCAGCAAGCCCATACATGTAATGCATGTCTGCAAACTCAGAATTCGTATATTGGACCATGTTTTTTAAATAATATTGTTAATGTTAATGACTTAAATACGTGACAACTAGACTGGGTAGACAACTGTCAAAACAGTTTATGTTTGCAAAACAAAATCTGCTTTTTACCTACTAGATCATTTTTAAATCTTATTAGTATCTACCTAATTTCATAACAGCGTACAAACGAATGAATTTTATTTTTTTATGCGAAGACCGTACGTCAAACGAAAAAAAAATTGCTCAAAAAGGAATGAGGATTTCAAAAATGATTTTTACTTTAAGAAAAAGCAGTGGCGTAACATATTTTTCTTAAAAAATATTCAATACAAAACCTGTACAGACGCCACTGGCAAAAATAATAAAATTGTTTGTACATCAGAAAATGCATCTCGATGAATAGAAGGCGTGTACCAAATTTGAAAAAATATCTAGGGTAATACCAAAGTTATCATAAAAAATGTTTTTTCATAAAACTTTAGCACCCTGTAGTTCAAAAGTTAAGACTTTTAGGACATATATTCATATGAAGTTTTTTTCTTAAAATGGACCCAAGAATAATCTCCTTAAATATTAGCACGTTATTAGGAAACACCCTGTATATTATATATATTTATCAATGAATCATCACCTACTTCTTGTAATAAGAATCAGTTTCCTTAACTGAAAATTGTCTTATGAAATAGATCATGCTGTATCCACAAGGATCTATTTTAGGTCTTTTATTCTTTAAGATTTAGATTCAATTTTAAAATGTCATATCTTACTGCAATTCGCACTTTTTTGCTGATGGTACCCAGCTGTATTACCTACTATGTTACAAACAAACTAATTACTAATAATTTAAACTGTGTATCCAAAATCCGAAATAACGTTATTTGGCAAGTTTTTTACTAGATTTCTTTCTAAAAATATTAGGTAATCTAATGATCAGTTGTAACCAACAGACATTGGAAAAATCTAGAACTAGTTGCAGATGCAACAGAAAATAAAAGAAATAAGCCTATTTCGATGCATTCATCGGTTATTATTATTGCAATTTGTCCTTATCCTGCCTTTTTGCCTTGCATTTTTATAAAATGCAAAGTGAAGAAAGCTTTGTTTCGGTTACAGAAGGTAGTGTGGGTTAATCAAAAGTGAAAAGGCCTTATATTATTGATGGCAAATCTCAACAAGTCCATTCTTTCCTGATATTTTTTTGCAAATAGTGCCACAATTTTTTGCTAATTTATGGTTAATGTAGTTATCAAGATGTTACAAGCTAAATTTCTAAACAAAATTTTTTTAGAACAAATGGATTTGCCTTGCTGCCGACCGCTATCACTCAATACTCAATATCTCCATTAGCGCGCAGTTCAAAAAGTTTGATTACTTTCTGAACAGATCTCGGATTATCATCACATTTAAACTATAATAGGATCATATTCGATGCAAAGTAATAAATCATTACCTGTCAAGGGAACCAATGAAGTACGCTTTTGAGGGTTTTACAAGTTGAATAATTTCTTTATACATTATGAAGGGACGAGGGGATCAGTTCAGGTCTGGCACCCTTGTTCCTACAAAAATTCCTTTANGGTAAGTTTTTTACTAGATTTATTTCTAAAAATATTAGGTAATCTAATGATCAGTTGTAACCAACAGACATTGAAAAATTCTAGACCTAGTTGCAGATGCAACCGAAAATAAAAGAAATAAGCATATTTGTTCATCGGTTATTATTATTGCAATTTGTCTTTATCCTGCCTTTTTGCCTCGCATTTTTATAAAATTAAAGAAATCTTTGTTTCGGTTACAGAAGGTAGTGTGAGTTAATCAAATGTGAACAAGTCCTGATACTATTTGCAAATAGTTTGAAAATGAATCATTATTTTCTGCTCATTTTCGGTTACTATGGTTATCAAGATGTTACAAGCTAAATTTCCACACATAATTTTTTTAGAACAAATGGAATTGCCTTGCTGCCAACCGCTATCACTCAATACTCAATATCTCCATTGGCGCGCAGTCCAAAAAGTTCGATTACTTTCTGAACAGATCTCGTATTATCATCGCATTTAAACTATTGTGATACAATTTATTACCCCTTTTTAACAAAATACAATCAGATATGTATTCATGAAACACAAAATTTTTGCGTGATATTAATATGCAAAGTTGGTAGTCATCAGCATATTTCACGGGAAGTTAAGGAAACGGGTTGAGTGAGAACTGAACAAAGACAAATGATACACAGGTGTTGCTTGTCTCATATAATTCTAGGTTTTAAAAAATCACCATATAGGGTTATTGATTATATCCAAAAAACCAGGGTTAAGAGGAACTATAACGTTCAAACAATTTTATTGCATAAATCGTTCAAAGGGTCACTTTAAATGAAAAAACTGCGGAATGCATTTCAGAGGGTGGAAATTGGAGATAGGGGCGAAAATTTTATGCAGAAAATCGTTAATAAACTATTCGAAAAAAAGCAAAAAATTTGATTTTCTTTTTGCTTTTTTTGCCTCTAGTTTTATTTGAGTAAAGATAGGTACAGGCATTGCATCATAAAAAAAGTAGATAAAATTTCCTTCAAAAAAGGAGAAAATTGATTATGCTATTCGATAGAGGACAAAAAGTTGCCATGCGAAAGTGATCTTCTTTTTTCAATATCACCTGAAACAAGGCTGAAATTAAACAAATACGGATTTCCAAAGTTTCGTTTTTTTCAAATATTTCGAAAGCCAATCATGTTAGAGGACATAATGTTGGTCCCCCTGATTACGCAACTTTTTCCTACATTTAAGCTAGTTTGTATCTCTTACCGTTTCCGAGATCCCTGTAGTGAGAAGCGAATTTATAACAGCCTGTATACAAACTAATTACAATTTTACACAGTATGATTTCCATATTACATGTTCAAAATATGTAGGTTATTTCAGTTAAATAAATAAGACTAATAATGTCAATTTTTCAGTCGGCTGTATACACTACCAGAAGCTGGAATTATTTTGTGAAGAAAAGTTTGTCTGGCGTTCTGCTAAGCATGATAGATTCGGTGTCGATCAGCCATACAGTTGGCCAAGTACTTTATGAAGGTTATGATGATCCGCTTTTGAAGACAGCCTCCACGATCAGTTCCTTTCACGCTTCACTCCCGAAGATGGAGAAGTTTGGGTGGTTTTATGGTGTAAGTACAGGTTGGTCAGAAGTTTTTCAATACATAATAATTTTAAACTGGCTTCCCGAATCCAAAAATGAGCAAATAAAAAACTCGTTTATGTTCACCACTATAGCATAGTTAAAGTAGCAAATTATGTACTTGTATATATTTTTATATCGAGAAGGTGTTCCTCAATTGGACTGTCAAACTTCTACAGGGTGTTCCTTGGTAAAAATTAACACAGAAATTGACTAACATATTTGTTTTTTTTTTTCTAAATATTACTATTTCACCATGTAATTATCTTCTCCGAAAAACCAATAAGCGCAATTTTTATACTCTGTTCAGGGTGTTCCACTTAACTTTCCCACCCCACTTATTCGGTTAGTTTTGCAGATATAAAAATTTTGTTGAAATAAAATTTGTAGTGGTCTTCATGAAATTTCACATATTTTCAAAAATATTTTTTGGACGGATGAGACAACATTTACAGCAGCCGGCATATTTAATAGAAAAAACAGCCATATATGGTCTCATGAAAATCCCCATTTTGTGAACGAAATTCAATTTTTGGGAAGAAGGACGGTAAATGTCTGGTGTGGGATCAACACACGGATATTTTTTATTATTTTTCATGGAAGTCTAAGATTCAGCAGATACTTAAGAGTTTCTACAAATCGAAATAGTTGACTTTTTGTGAGAAATCCCATTAAACCAGCCGAGGGTAATAATTTAGCTACAAGACGGAGCTCCATGTCATAATACTGGACCAGCTACCAACTTTTTAAATGACAATTTCACGGAGTGGATCGGTAGGCGAGGCACCACGTTGTGGCCTGCCCGTAGTTCAGATCTTAATCCACTTGATTTTTCTCGTGGGGTTATTTAAAAAATAAAGTATGTACTAATAGAGTAGAAGATGTAAATCATTTAATTGAAAAAATAACTACCGAAATTGCGAATATCAATAATAATCCCGAGGTATTAGAAAATGTGATCGCATGCATCAATAAGAAATTATGCATCCAGCTCACATAGAACAATTATTAAAATTATTTATTTTTTTCTTGTTCTGTTAATATCCATTACTCTTTCTATAACTTTGTTATTTGTTCGAACTATAGTTTGTTTTTCTGTTTTCGTTTCCAGATATTTTACAATAAAACTGTCAAAAATAAGTACCACATATGTTACATACCTTTGTTCAGAATAAAATTGTACATCCAAAAATGTACAGGGTGTTCCATTAAAAATAATAATAAGTTGTATCTGTCACATCGGCATTTGAATTTTAATTGTTTTTTGTTGCTACAAACTTCATAAAAAACGCTACAAATTTTATTTCAACAAAATTTTTTTATCTGCAAAACTAACCGAGATAAGTGAGGTGGGAAAGTTAAGTGATACACCCTGTACATGGCAAACTATTAATTTGTGGACCTATGTTGGTATAACCTTTTGAAAATCATTCAAAGAATCGCCCCATAATGTTTATCGATGTACTTAATTAACACCCTGTATTTGTTATTTATTCCAGAGAAATGGGTCGGAAGACTCTGAAGGCTCCTTCAACATAGACACCGGAGTGTCTGGGCGAACAGGCCAACTGTACAACTGGAGATACAGCAATCACACGACATACAATCCAGGATCGTGTGGGGCTTTAGAAAACACCTCGGGAGGGGACTTTTTCCCAACTGATCTGAAGAAAGACAGCATCATCAAGTTCTTTTCGCCTGACATGTGTAGATATGTCGAATTGGAGTTCGAGAGGGAAGTTGTGATACACGGGATTGTTGGCTATAAATATGCCGCTTTTGATAAATTTTTGGATAATGGTACGTGGTAAATATTTTTTTTATTTTGTAGTTTTAAAATCTGACTTACCTCAACATTGCAAGGAGCCACCTTTTGAGAACTGCTGATTTTCATAGAAAATGTTCGATGTATCCACTACAAATGCGCAATTTTCAAAAGAAAACTTGGAAATGCGGAAATTAAGTGTACTCTCGAAAAATAGCACAGCAATCACTACAACAATGTATTACAAACTAACTTTTCGAATACAGTCCGCCTTCGTAAGAAACCTGCAAACTCATAAAAAGTGTTACAGAATTTTTTGTAAGTACTCGCCGCGATAAAATACATGTATTTCAGCAGTTCCAAAACAGTTTTAAACACGTTTTTAATTATCTTTTTTCTCTATGACCTTAACCTTCCAATACAAGTTTGTGACGTCAATTAACACAGTGTTTTTGCTCCTTTTTCAACCCTTTAAATTTTTGACATAAGTTCATTAACATAAGTTCATTAAGTATATTTTAAATAATACTTTCGAGATCTAAATGAATTCAGTTAGTGTTAACCAATAAAGGATTGATCAAATCAGGAGAAGTTACGGAATTTAATGTTGACTGACAACCGAAGAGAAAAGCGAAAAAGATAAGTTGAATTTTTCTGTAATTCCAGGCACCAAGGTACCAGAAAACCGTTGCTTTTGTGATGGCGACTGTATGCCATATGGCTTACTAAATATTTCCGCCTGCCGTTACGGATCTCCTGCTTTTGTTTCACTTCCAAATTTCTACAAAGCTGATCCCTATTACCTGCAAAACGTTGAGGGTTTAACCCCAGAGAAGGAAAAAAATGATTTCTTCATGATTTTTGAACCGGTAAGTAACTACATAAGTAATTTTTAAGATCTGTCCTTTTGTGAAAAAATTTCTCTGTAAAATATTTCTACAAAACTTGAACCAAATGAAGGGTACATATACAAATTTATATTCTACTTCAATGAATAATACGACTGTGTTGAAATGCAAGAAATGTCAAAATCTTTTATTGATCGTAAAAAGGGCGACATGTTTGTATTATCATAATTGCTTAGAAGTTTTGATGTCTTTCAGAAAACTGGTATCCCTCTACAAGTTGCTGCCAGGTTGCAGTTGAATTTGCGACTTCAATCAGTAAAAGGATACAGGTGAGTACTTCAGTCATGTATCACTGAAATATACGTCAAGGAAACGTAAAAAGCTTTTGGGAATTCCCAGTATTCTCTTATTTGTGAAAATTAGCGAAAATAAAAGAGAAACTCGAAAAAAGTCCTATCCGCGAGATTATTGTAAAATTGTCTAAAGGAACATAATAGATATCTCTCATCTCGTGAGTCAAAAACTTTTATTAGCTAACTTTTCTATTTAATTAAGCAAATAAGTGAGGAAAACAGTTTTTTCACTTTGCAGGGAAAAGCATCAATAACTATCGGATTTGTTGTTAAAATTTTATAAAACCTATGACAATTTGAGGGTTTTGTCATACTATAAAAGTGTGCCAAAAGTGGGCGCTGTAGGTGCAATAGTTTTCGCACAATTCTATTTGTTTATAGCGGAGGCTCCAAAAGTTATGAACTTTAAGCCTCTGTACAAACGTTAATTTTCAATCAAACATGATTCTGAAAGCGTCATTGTAATCTTAAAGACGCAATTAAGCGACCTATTAAAAAATATCACGGTTTTTTTGACATTAACATTCTCAAATTGTGCATTAAGAAACCGTGCGTTTTTCGCTTATAAACAATTTGAATACCATTGTTGCTATTTATGCTATTTCACCGAAAATAGATGCAATGGATAGCTGGCAAAAAAATACAGTTTTAAAATAAAAAAAGTA